AAATAATATAATGTGAACACAGTCCAGCGGGGGCAGGGGGAGGGGGGAGCAATCGAACTCGGGTTCGGACCAAGCAATCGAACCAAGTGTGAAAGCACCCTAAAATTCAACTTTTTTCCCCAAAGTGTATTCAGTTATTTTTCTCTCATTAAATCCTGTTGTACTGAGTGCCTTTTTAAAATTGTCCACTATTAGTACTGATAAAATAAAGGACAGCAGAAGTCAGGCTCATGTTGAATCAGTCTTTTACCAATCAGCATCTCCAAACAAAGTCCCTCCAGGATGCCTCATTTTGACGCTATTATCAATCCAGAGTTCATCCACTCACTCACTCATCACACACTGTACTTACTGCTGTCCTACAAGCTTTTCATCTCCCTGTCTTCCCAGCCTTTATATTCTTTTCATGCAGATACCATCTCTCTCTTTTTTCATTCTCACCCCATCTTGAGGCTGTGGAGGGCCTCGTTTACGTTCTTCTGGTGGAAGCTGGTCATATAGGTGTGCATCTCTTTGTAGTTGTTCCTTATGTTTCTCTCTGTGCTGCCATTGGGCACAGTACCGAAGCGGAATGGAGGGGAGAAGTCATTCGGATGTTGAAACTAGATAAGAGAGAGAAAGTGAGAGAGAAATATATATATATAACTCAGCAGTGTCCACATTGTCAATGAACACTCATGGGACAAAGTGTGAGGAGAGGTGTCATTTCAAAAAAGCTTTAAAGATACAACAGATCTTTTTTGTCCCAACATTCATAATAGACCTATTTCCAGTGTAAACACACAGACTATGTTCTCTAGACACTCAAAGCTTCACTAGACATAAAAAGTAAAGCATGACTTAAGAGTGAAAAAACAAAATCTCACTACATCAATTATTAAAGAAGCTACAGCACCCTCTCAGAGTCAAACCTTGTTTTCTGTTTCATAACGGTTGGCTAATTCACATTAGCCCAATTTTTTTCACGCAAAGATGACACGAAAAAAAAAAAAAACAGTCAGCATGTGGTTGCCCAAATATGTCATCAGTCGTTTGAGGATAATAAACAGTAGTATTAGGATGTCACATGCAACACTGTGCCATGTAAGCATGCATGAATTCGCTTATGAACAAAAATGATTCACTGTTAAGACCATGAAGTGGGATGTTTTTTTCTATAAATTCAAATTAAAGTCATCATTTCCACACAGGCTTCACTAACAAATCCCACCCCCAAACTCATGTGATTCGTTAAGCCAGAAGTTGACATGTCAGATTGCTTAAACAAACAAAGCAATATTTTTAAAGCACCAGAGCCTCGGAAACCCACAAACGGCTTACTTATAGCTGTCTTTGCACATTAAACTAAGACAGAAGAGCATTTTATAACATCAAAAAAATTACACAGTGCACCTTAAATATTGCATCATTTATCGGCTAGTCTGTGCGGATTAACCTTAGCTGTTTAACACCAAGGATAAAGTAGAGTTTGGTGTTTCAAGTCAAGTCACGTTCAGTTCAAGGCAGTCTTTGGGAAAAAAAACAGCTTTTCATGTCCTAGAGGTGGAAGAGATCTAATTTTTTGACTGTAGGATAAATGAGATCAATAAGAACTATAATTTTAATAACAGCTTTCAGATGCCCGAGCTTCACTTTTGCACATGCTGTTAAATCTGACCAATAAACCCTTTTACCTTTTTATCACTCAGGCCCGTCACCTGGTCCACATATTCCTCTTGAATCATAAATGCGGCCAGGTTGGCAGTGTAACTGGCCAGGAAAATCACAGCGAAGAAGGCCCAGACTGAGACCATGATCTTGCTAGTAGTGCCTTTGGGGTTCTGCACGGGCACAGAGTTATTGAAGACCAAACCCCAAAGTAGCCAAATAGCTTTTCCGATGGTGAAGGAGGGACCGCCAGGCTCTGATGGTGTGTAAAGTGGTAGAGAAATTGATATAGAGAGTTATTACCTTATAATTTAATGGGAATCAGAGAGGAGTAAAAGGGCAGAGGAAGAAAATCCATAATAAATAGCCATGAATTAACTATTCAGTTTTGATTTTGATCAAAAGAATCAATAATATTCAGAGAAGCAGTACACTGCTGAGCATGAAATCAGCCAATACAACATGGAAAGATTGATATAATGTCCAAAACTAAAAGACAAGGTTATTTTATATTTGTATATACATTGCATATATGTGACCCTGGGCCACAAAACCAGTCATAAGGGTCAATTTTTCGAAATTGAGATTTATACATCATCTGAAAGCTGAATAAATAAGCTTTCCATTGATGAATGTTTTTTTAGGATAGGACAATTTTGGCCGAGATACAACTATTTGAAAATCTGGAATCTGAGGGTGCAAAGACATCAAAATATTGAGAAAATCGTCCAAATGAAGTCTTCATGAGCCAAAATGAAATTTTAAAATATTTACAGTAGGAAATTTACAAAATATCTTCATGGAACATGAATATCCTAATGATTTTTGGCTTAAAATAATCGATCATTTTGACCCATACAATGTATTTTTGGCTATTGCCACAAATATACCCCAGCAACTTAAGACTGGTTTTGTGCTCCAGGATCACATATATAAAATATATTGTATATATACATTGATATAAATTTAGATTTAATTTAGAAACATTTCAAACAAATGTTATATGACCATGTATAAATAAATATACAAAACAGACATAAATATTAATATATAAAGATGCATCTATTTATATATATATATAGATTTAAATGAAAAAAAAAAACATATATAAAGTACCATTAAATGCATAGTTATGAACAGAAGTATATTATATTAAATAAAAATATTATATTGTAATGTAATGAAATGCAATGAGTGTAATTATATCAATTTTTAGATGGTTATAAGATGAAAACGTTAACCTATATATACCAAATGTATATTGGTGTTCTGTATAAAGGATATAGATTTGTGTGTGTGTGTGTGTTTATATAAGCGTGTGTGCACACCTCGTCCATCTGCCAAGCAGCGATTATAGCCAACAGGACTGAAGTACTCAAAAACGAAAACAGCCACGGCTGAAACTATCAACAGCATAACGAACATCATTACCCAGACATCAGCGCTGAAGGGCTCTGAGAGCAAAAAAAGAAGGGAAAAGAAATTACTAATGAAGAGCGCACTTGAATTTGGAATTATGTCTTGAATGCCATTACAGTGTGTATATAGCACTTACCTAAAAAGGCAGAAGGTGACACTGTGCCATTGCTACGAGAGACCATGACACTAATCCCAGTCTCTATGAAGGGCACAGAGAAGTCAATGACCTCTGACCTCTCTTCGTTAATGGTCAGGGACCCCACTGCCATGTGGGCATTCTTCAACACCACCTAGACATGAGGAAAAAGGGTGGTTATAACGAACCTGGACTAGTCTAGGCATGTCACAACAGAGGGAGGAAAAAAGCAACAGTGTGAGAAGCAAACGGTGAAAGAACTAGTGAATGAGAAAACCATGATGGAAAAAAAACAAGACTGTGAGACCAAGGAAGGCAGAAATCAGGTTACTTCCTACAGTGGGTCGCAGTAGCTTTTAATAGCCATTTCTCTTTTTTTTTTAACCTTTCCCTAATCACCACTTCCCCAAACCCATCACTTGTCCAGGAAAATTTAGAGTTACATATAAGGGGCCTCTGGTGATATAGGAAAATGTGACAAAACAGAGTTAATAAGGTGAATGTATGCTACAAGAAGGCTTTGTCTACATCAGGGCTACTCAAGGGGCCACACAATCGGATTTCTTTAGCCTCAAGGGCCACACTTCTAATTTTTTTATAGTGCCTATGTTATATTAATAAGGCTACTGAGTGTTATACACTTACACAGCCACGTATCAAACTAAATCGCTCCCATTATAATCAATGAAGCTATACTGTAAGCTCTCATCTGTGGCACAGTTTGCAGAGTGGACTATACATTTCTGCTTGGTGTTGGATTTTTTAAATTGCACTGTGCATTTACCATGGTATATAGCAGAATCTCAAAAAACATGCAGGCCACGAGAATGCCCTGTGGGCTGCATGTTGAGTAGTGCTATTCTATATCCTATTTTCTTTCTCCGTCTTTTCAAAATATGAGACTGTATTTTGCATATTTGCTTGAGTGTGTGTTGCGTTACAGCATCTATCACTGAACATGAGCATGTCTTGGAGCATCAGATCTTGTAAAGACATTAAGTAAACATCAAGAAAGCTACTAATGGCGCTTTTCCACTGCATGGTACGGCACGGTACGGTTCACTTTTGGGGGGTTTTCCACTGTCTACGGCTCCAAATGTGATGCAGTTCTCCGAGTATTCATATGACTAGGACCGAAAGGGAACTGTATAACATTCATTCCAACTGTGGATTTACATATGATCCGGTAACTCATATTATTTCTCATCTGAATTAATGCACCAGCTGTATTTTCCCTTGGGCTAGTGCAAACTCACTTGCTCACATTTTCTCTCTCTTTCATCTGTTCTTGTCAAGAGAGATAGAGATACTTTTCAGATTTTCATTTTTTGGAAATAATATATAATCAGAAATCCACAGACGCTCCAGAAATTTGTCCTAGTGGTTATTACAGTTGACTAACACCATAAAAAAACATTTTCCTTACTTGAAATAAAATAAATATTAACTGAAATAAAAGAAAATATAAAATAACTTTAATTTATAAAAGTTAATAAATCTGTATAGACATTTAAACTATATAGACATCACAACAAAACTACTAAAACTTTAACTAAAATTAAAAATAAAATAAAATATAAAAATACAATTTAATTCAAAATAACATAACTAACTATAGTATAGTAAATAACTATAGTGGTATATCAATGATACTAAAATAACACTGGAGCCAATGGCATACATGCAATGTGAGTTTGAGTCTGGCTTGCAAACATTTCCTGATCCAATTTCCCCCTTTTAATCACGAAATGTATTAGTCATTGCTGTACGAAGAAAAAAAAAGGTATATATGCACTATCCAAAAATGAGTAACCACAAATTAGTGCAGAAATATATATTTTAAATGCAACAAGATTTGTCAAATTGTTGTGAGCAAAATATTATTTTTAATGTACTGTAATAAGCATACCTACAGTGTGAAAAAACAAACAAACAAAGCATACAGATGAATATGCTCCTCTTATCCATCATATGCAGAGGAATGGTAGAACAGGAAGAACAAAAGTGTATGATCCAGCAAGCTCTTGGATGAGAAACAACCTATTCAACCCAAACCCTATGGTGTTTTATAAGAACCAGTAGTTTTCTTACTAAAAGCATTTTGAAACTAACCTCTCCAACCATGCCATTCCATGTGCCATTGATCTTTTTGCCATGCTTCCCATTGGTCACCAGGTAGAGATCGTAGGTAAATTTTACCGACTTGGCAATCTTTTTGAGGATGTCTATACAGAAGCCCTTGCAACAGCGTTTAATGTAGATCCCTGAATCTCCTGTCTGATTTCTGGAGGTAGGAAAAACAGGAAGAAAAAGTTGAGAAGATTAATATTAGCAAAGGAAGTTATTTTTCTAAATAGTGAAGAGGGCGTTTAACAAATTTCGCCTTAGCCGTTCATCAATCCTTAAAGGGGTCATATGACCTTGATAAAAAGAACATTATTTTGTGTATTTGGTGTAATGAAATGTGTTTACGCGGTTTAAGGTTCAAAAAACACATTATTTTCCACATACTGTACATTATTGTTTCTCCTCTATGCCCCGCCTTTCTGAAACGTGTCGATTTTTTACAAAGATCATCGCTCTGAAAAGCGCGGTGTGCTCTGATTGGCCAGCTATCTAGTGCATTCTGCGCTGCACAGACTCGAATATTTGGGTTGTACTGTTCTGGAACAGTGTTGTAAATAAAACTTAACCACTGATTTCTAGTTGTGTCCTCTATTGGAAGGCCAAACAAAGTAGTTTGGCTTTTGCAACGAAACACACAGTGTCTCCATGACATGGCGGCGGTGGCAACAATATTACAACGAGAATATACGCCTTCTTTCTTTGCGTATATATTTGGGCGGTGTTATGCAAATCTTCCCACACAGTGACGTAGATATGTGGGGGCGTGTTTAAACGAGGCATTTTAGGAAGGCGTGGCTGAGCGTTCACTTTTATAAAGAATATCTCTTTGGGTTTGAGATTTTAATCTTTGCTACTTTACGGATCTTCTGTATGCACGAACAGCTTTTAACACACCAAAGACAAAGGAAAACATGAAATCGCATCATATGACCCCTTTAATCAAAATACCATTTCATAATAAATCTGCATCTGAAGAAATCAATCAGTGAGTCAACATAACATCAAAATGACTAATGACCACTGCACTGACTATTGCATTGACTACATTGGAACACGGAGACTTAAATTTGTCAAAATTCACATTAATATCGGATAATTTATCATAATAAATGAGTGTTTTAGCAATAATTTATTACAAGAATGCTAAATGAATTTAACACTAATTTAACACAGATATTTTTTAATCAATCTCAAAAAGAGACATGAGATACCAGTTTAATCCATAAATGAATCAGTATTTTACACTAACAGTGCAATACTGTATACACCACACTTTCTTACTATATGATATAATCTAGTCCTGACAGTGACAGAGCACCTTACATTTGAAAACTGAATGGAGGATCTGTGCTCTCATGAGACAAATCTGCATTTTGGCAGTCAAGATTAATGACTGATCTCATATTGATCTCATACAATGATTGATTTAAATAGCTGATTTAAGATATTTTACCTATACTATGTAGCTTTATCTATCCTGGATATTAAGCAAATCTTCACAGACAAACTGTGTGGCATGCCTGAAACCACTGAAAAAAACTTTATTTTTCACTTTTCTAATTTATTAGACATTAATTAGAAATTATATTAGCAGGATAATAATTCAAGTGAAATATTTACTTAGTATTTGGTCTCTTAGTATTTGGATTTTTTTTTTTATCCCACAATCTTCTGTTTATTTTCAGGTTTAAATATTTTCATTGTCCAGTTTTTTAGACCTCACTGTATTCATCTGTGATTTAGACAAGTTTTATAACATTTTTCAGTCTACCACTTATAACATCTGCTGTGAAATCTGCGACAAATCTGAATTTTGAACCAAACTGCAGCACATTTTCCTGAATATCTGTACTGTTCCTATTGGATTCTCACTGGAGTTTGAGCTGTTTTCTGCACGGCACTGTATTCCTCATGCAGGTGCCACTGAGGGGGTCAACATCCTCCACAATAACAAATGGAGCCTCCTCCAGCGTAACAATGGACAGGTGGTCATCCTCCCGCTCCCCAGTATCCGAGTAGAGCTCGAACCGAGGCCACACGTGGTACTTCATTGCCAGAGACCCGTTCTCCCATTTACCAACCTGTGAAAGTGCAAAGAGGGCAAGATGAGTGCAGAAGATGAGAGAAGGATAACGAGTGAGATAATGAGAGGGTGTTGAGGTTGAAGTGGCTGCGATTGGATTAGTGCGGGCTAAATTTGAGGAAGGCTGAAATCTTGAATTAAGATAAAGAGCGATAAAGAGTAAATGAAGGTTGATAATTACATCAGGGAACAGTCATGAGTTAAGAGAAATCAAGAGGCAAAAGAGAGAAATGAGTAGAGATACCCACCCTTTCATACTGCCTCTCCTTATTTAACAGTATAATGACCAACTTTGGGTGCATCTGAAAACCGTCCTCACTAAAGGAGAGGTTGCGCCCTTCAAATGTCACATTCATGAGGTACCTGAAGAGAAAACAGAGTGATTATATCAGACCAAACACATTTGGTGGTTATTAACACAAAGGCACCTTGCTCGCTTAGACCTGTATAGCACGAATATTTTCAGAACAAGTCGAAGCAATTTACAGGATCCCTCAATGTCAGCAGCTTACATGGCTTTCCAGTGTACCTAGTGTATGGGCTTCTGCACACTATCCGTATGTCCACACATTTATAATGCAGGAAAGCAGGTTTGCTGCTTGAGGGTATAGCAAATTATATTCACAATGGCAAATGTGAATCTGGCAGCCTCCTGGTCACAAAACCACTATTATGACTTTTAAATCCACCCAGTTGGAGAGTTTTGAGGAGCTGGTATGAATTTCACCTTAACACAATTATCATGAACCCAATAAATTATAATAATCCAGGGAAAAATATTTATTACAGAGGTGAGTGATATTACATTTCAGATCTAACAACTGATATCTTAGCATTTAGTTAGTCATCCAAGAAAAAATTAACAGCAACTTTTTATTTGAAAGTAGCACATTTCTATATTATAATTATAAACCAGTTTGCTGCATCTTGAAACAATTTGGCTTTGTATTTGATTGTAATGGATGCTGTGGATGAATGCAAACACTGCATGGTGAATAGTTTCATCCAAATGTCAAGTTTTTTCCAAAAACAGCATGCTTGACCTCCATCACGTAGGAATTAATCCTTGTCACGCAACCTTAAGAACCAGAGCATCTTGACTACACTGCCTTGGATAGCTTTTGACATGGTCAGCCACAAACTGTTCATTTCAGTGCGGACAACATTAACTAACTTACTGGTTTATTTCCTACTTGAACAGATCATATAAAGTTAGCAAAAAAGCCTCATTTACTGGCTCTCAATCCAGGAGTCCCTCATGGCTCAGTATTTGGTCCTTTAATTTTTTCCATCTACATCAGATCACCCTGCATTACCATCTAATCAGAGTGTAAATTTGATTCTTCCTCACTGGCCCACCAGATTTTGTCAAATAAGTTCATACAAAATGCTTTAGGTCGAGTTGTAATTAACCTCTGTTGTAATTAACCTCTTTCATGTCACTAACCTGCTCCACAGACAAATTTGGGCAGTACTTAATGGACTAGAGTCTAGTGACTCGTCTTTACTGACCTCATCTAGCACTTAGATATCTGAACTGCATCAACTATGTTTAAGCATTCTTATATTGTGTTGTTCTTCTTGTTGCCCTTGAGATCTAACTTAGCACTTGACTTCTTAGTATTCTCGGCCACAGTTCCAGCATTTGGCACTTACGTGATATGTATATATGAGTTCATAATAAGACAAAAAAAGAAATTAACCCTTCAGTAACATTATACAATACATGTTATGAGAGACCATGGCATCATAGTAAGATCAATATATTACACAAATTTATTTTTCTAGCAGTGTTTTTTTTTTCTTTTTTTCGTGTGTGCATTTCCTCCAGTGCTTTTTGTGTGTTTCTTCCAGTGTTTCCTCCAAACTAAAATTTCAATATCATATTTTGGTTTAGGGATCAATTCTCACTATTAACCAGTTTTTTATTAGCATGCATATTACTAGCATGTTGACTTTTTATTAGTACTTAGAAAGCACATAGTAATGCCTTATTCTGCATGACCATATTCTAGATCCCTTAATCCTACACAATAACTAAACTTAACAACTACCTTACTAACTATTAATAAGCAGCCAATTAGGAGTTTATTGAGGAAGTAATAGTTAATAGTTAACAGTGAGAATTGGTCCTCACTAAAGTGACCAAAATCTGATACTGAAATTTTAGTTTTTAATATAGTTGTTTTGTCAACAAGTAAAAACAATAAAAAAAATTACATTAACATACATTCAGACAAGAGTCAAATATATTTATATTTTTATATAAATATATACTTATTAATATTTTATAGTGAATTATAGTTTCATTAATTAACTATAAACAAATGTGTTTTCAGGACAATTGTTTTTTTTCATAATTATGTACATGTTGTACATTAATACAATGTATTATTTTTGCCAAAATAATATTTTTGTACATTATCTTTTACACTTTTGCTATTTCATTAATTGCTATATAATTTTATTAGAAATCTGTGTTAAATTGTATCTGGTTTTCCTTGGCAATGACAGTGGAAATGTTCAAAAGTGTTTCTATGATGTTCAGAAATTGATTTCTTAAAAATAAACGTACCCTGACCAATATTACGTATGACAACCAGCCCCCAGTGTTCCCTGTAGATAAATAAGGAAAGGTGCTTAGATAGATACACTTTTCTATTAATTCACCCTACTGTGTCAAACACAGAACATAAATTTTCCCACAGTAATAAAAAACATCAGCAGTAAAACATGAAACAGAATCACATAGACAAGTCGTTTCCCTTTTCTTCCATCTGGGTGTAAAATTTATGACGTAGAAGAACTGACCCAATTTAGACAGTGACTGTAAATCAGTCTGTAGTCAGGTGCGTGTGTGTGTTTGTGCCCTTGAGCGCTGATACACGCACAGATTTTCATCATAGCGTGAGTATCATGTATGTGTGTCAACAAGTTTTGTGTCAGAGCCAGTGAAAACTCACTGCTGCACTCCTCGCTCTCTTGCCTCCATCTGTGGGCTGTTGTCGCCATGACAACAATCGGCCTCATGAAAACTCACCAAAAAAGAAATGAAAGAGAAATATGCAAACAGAGAGAAGGCTAGAGAGCAGAATGACCAAACAAATAGTGTGTACTGTATTTCTCGTGCATGTAAAATACAATGGAATAAGACTGTGAAACAATGTTGTACATCTATATATACAGTACAGAAGCTAACATCAAAAAATGGACTTCTGGGAGGAGGTCTATAACATCTGGAGAAAGATAACTGTTAGCATATCAATGGCAGTCGCTCGTCTGGCAAAGGAGCTTCCAAAAGTATAGTATGTGACTTGAAATCTGATATATTGATCATGGGTGCTTGGGAGCTGCATAAAAATGACAACACCATGCCCTTCAATTGAAATACTTGCAATTTAGACTATATTTGTTTGCAAAAATAGACAACAGAAAGCATAGCTACTTTTGAATAGCTTGTAAATTTACTGGTTTATTTGCTACTTGGAACAGCTCATAGAAAGTTAGAAGAAAAAAAATTCCTGCCCCTCAATCCTGAGTCCCTCATGGCTCAGTATTTGGTCCTTTATTTTTTCCTTATAGATCAGATCACCCTGCAATGCCATCTAATCATAGCTAATTTTGAATAGGTGTAAATGGAAAAATACATTGTATGCCCACTGAATGGTGTAGCTACCACACCAGCAGGGGCTAACTGAATCATGCTAACCCTTCAAATATGCCCCGTGATTTGTTAAAACAGCACTTACAACAGATTTCGGACATTTATTTAAATATCATTATATATTTGGTAGCATGGTAAATATCAAAGTATCATGGGACTGCAATAGTACTTTGTTGTTACATTAACACTACTAGAGAATGACATATACAAACTGCAGTAGTTACTGCAATAGTTACGTGCACATCTGATCCATTTAACCTACAGTCTCATACAGACTCGCACACCATCAATTCCCAAATCGGTGTGTTAGGGCAGTCTGTGCTGATTCCTGACACACAAAGGTACGTACAACCCCAAACTGCCAACAGATAGAATGAAAGTGAGAGGGTATGTGTGAAAGAGAGAGGGAGAGAGAGACCTACCAGCATATAAAATGCGTTACCATGGTGCCCACAACCATAGCAATCTCCAAGCAATCTGCTGTGTTGCCATGGGAACAGTAATCTCACCCGAGAGAGTGAGGGAGAAAGAGAGGAAGAGACATGGAGAGAGAGGTAGCATCTTTTGTACTTACAGCAAGATGCATGATGTGGCAGAGACCCATTTATCTGTCGCTATAAATACAAACAGATCGATATTGGACATGACAGCCGACCAGATTTATCGTATCCAACGTTTTTCAGTTCTAGCATTGATCTGACATTAGAAAACTCATCTTCAGATTTACCATACACCCATTTAAAAGCAAAACTGTTCAAGGAGCTATGAATTACTTGATCATACATTCAAGGGGTTCCTCTCATGTTTAATTTTGGACCTGCCATTACATCTCCTGGCTTGACACCATGCCATTTCATGATACTTGTCACGGTTGTGAAATAGCCTCTCAGGTCAACAGGGAACAGCTTTAACAACCATCGAAAACTTGAGGGAGTGTGAGGACTGGTATATGATTATTTCATTAATGTCTAGAGCAGGGGTGTTTTCTCCGAGGAGCAGTGTTGTTATTGTTAACTAAAACTATCAAAAATAATTTTCTCTCACTGAAATTAGTTGAAATAAAATTTAAAACATACAAAAATTAATTTAAATTTTTTTTATGAAATTACAAATATATAAAAAATGTAATATGTATATAAAGTAGCACTGTCCAACAATGAGACCACTGAATAAAGTTTCAGAAGGAGGCAATGTGTCTTTTGCCTCCCCTGCGGTGTCTTACATATATTGTTTTTGATGGGATCACTTGGTGCCCTGGACAAGATAAGGCATGACCAAAGAAAACAACAACTTGGTAGTTCTTTACATAAGTATAAGAAGTCCATGTTTAGTGGTACAGTGTCTCTGTAATGTGTAGGTGGACCCATGTTCAAAAATGATTTTGAATTCAACAGCAAAACTGCACCTGAATTTGACAGCTGGGGTTTTTTTTAAATGAAAAAGGTCATGCAAGTTACATAAGGGTGAGTATATGATCTTCAGTTTAAAGTAAATGATTTATAGAAGGTGCAATGTGATTGGACAAAAGAAATTTCAATGTGTGATATGATTGATCAAATACTGTATCAAATACAGTTGAATCAAATCAGTGATTCAACTGTAATGTTACGAAGCTACGAGAATATTTTTGCGCATAGAAAACAAAAATAACCACTTGATTCCACATTTCCGGCTCTACTCCGTCACTTGCGTAACATTA